TTAGACTTGAAAATAAAAGTATCCCCATGGTCGAAATTATGAGATAGAAAGTTGAAATTATGAGATAGCATGTTGTCTGTGTACCGACATTAAAACTATCACAACAGGTGGACAGGAGAGGCAACAGCCCGTAAAGAGGTTTTCCAACAAGTGATTGAGTTGAAAAAGATTGACAAATAATTCCAAAATGTCCACGAAGAGAAAAATTGATGCAGAGGGAAGAAAATGTAATGAAAGATGGGAAAGCGAATACATGTCTGTGCTTCAAGGAGAAAAACGGGTCTGTCTTCTGTGTTATGAGGCAGTGAAGGATACAATTCACGTCGGCATTTTGACACCAAACACGGAGCAAAATTTAGCCTCCAAGAAAAACATCAAATTGTCCAAGAATTAAAAGGCAGACTGCAATCACAGCAGAATATATTTACAAAAGCTACAGCCCAGTGCATGCTAAAGGTATGTGAGCAGGTGAGCTCCGACCAGATACAAGACTTTTACAAATGTCAGTTTGTGAAGAAACACCATCGCAGACCAAGTTCAGGAACTAGCAGCAATCTAACAACACAGCTAGCTCAGAGATGAGCAGATAGTCGTCTTCTTCATTATCTGTTGATGAAAGCACAGACAACATGGACACAGAGCATCTATCAGTGTTTATAAGACCTGACTCTCAGTGAGGAGCTCTTGGATGTAGCTGCCATGCACGGGACGACGACGGGGACATTAGTGATGCAGAGAGGTGACAAAAATAGCTTTGAACAAAGTTAATGTAATAACTTCTGTTTGATGATATTTGTCTGTTATTTTCTTTAAAAGTTTGATCTTTGATAGAGTAATGTGGGTTTCTTAACCCTAAATTAAAATTATTTATTTATAATAACAGAAATGTGCTTAAATATCATTTTACATTTATATAACTGCATGTACAATATTTTGAATACACTTGAATAAACAATAATCAAATGCAGAGAGTTATTTAACAATATGGTAGGGAGTAGTTACAGTTATGCAGTCTTACAGTTACAACCGGCCCTTTGAGGAAAACTATGATGCTGATGTGGCCCAGAGTGAAAATGAGTTTGACACCCCTGACATACAGGGAGTAGACTAAATGAGGGCCGCAGAGATTAAGAGATTTGCTTATTTTGTTGAAGTACTTTTGTAACTATTTTGTCCACCCATTTTCAAGTTGAAAAGCAAGTCTAGTTTCCCTTTTGGATCCTCTTGTATGTCTTATTGTAATTATGTTTAACCACTTTTGTTTTGGCATTAGGATAATTCATTCAGGACTGGTATAGGTGACATTCAGTGCCAGCTGGCTTAGGGTGCTCATACAGAGTTAATGGATTTGAAATGTTCATAAAAATGCGATGAGTGTGGCATGATAACTGGCCTTTTATCTGCTCTGTCCAACAAACATTAGAGCCTGTGATCCTTTACATGTTTAGGACATTTTTGCAAGCTCCGTGTGCACAGTCTTTACAACGCAAGTCCCTATCATTTCAGCCAGAGCACCTTCATTGGGGGTAAGAATAATACACATGATTGAAATAAAAGAAGAATCTATAATTTACCAAAAGGCTCACCTGTATCATAAATTTAATTCCCTGAATTCAAATTGTCTCTCTCAATATCCACTGCAATTCTTGCAGGGTGGATATATTTTGACAGCAACAGGATGATTGGTTGTCAGAATCATCTGACAGAAAATTCATGTCTATCTAAATAGTCTAGAGTATAACCACACCAATTGTGCATTTTTATGAGAAAAGCAGGAATTTGTAAAGCAGCCAGCTCCGCTATAACCAATGCTTGAACGCCTGAATGAATGACCAAAGGAACTGGCGGCCATCTTGTTTTTTTACCTCTCATGGCCTTTAGAGGTCATCCACATCTGAAAATAAAGCTTATACAGTAGTTTAGACTAACTATGTCAGGAATGTCATGTTTTTCTCATAAAATGCTCAATTGTTATTATATGTGAGTTAATGAGCTGTGCTAGGAGGAAAATAAATGAATGGTGTTGAGAAAATAAAAAGTAAAGGACTAAAAACGTTGCTCTAACTTGTTTCGCAATTTTATATTGGCAGATTTCAAAAGCTCTCCAAGGCTTTGTAAAGTCAACTTACTTGTATAATTTTCTAGAAAACTGTAATCTATTAGGCTAAATGCCTAATAGTGCACACGAAATATTAGTTAATAGTTAATTTATCATAATAATACTATCTGATATGGGGCTGGGACAAAGCTCATTCAAGACACCGTTTTCGGAATCATTCAGATCAAATTTCACACTCAACAGTGTTTTTATATGAAGAGATGTAAAATTAGAATACAAGCAATTAATAATAGTTGCACTTTCACTATGAATGAGTTTGAAACTGCTCAAATGATTTTGAGGGAGCAAAAAGTTCATTAACCTTATTAAAATGTTTTTTTTATTTTTCATACCAAATTCTGAATATGCCGGGAGGTTGAAAGAAAGACAAGAAAAGGTCAAATGGCCTCTGTGTACTACAGCAGCTCATTAACTGATCAATATTGAGAAAGGTCATTTATTTTCTGTTAACAGTCCCTCGATAGCAACACCAATGCTATGCACATTTGCAATCTGCATTTTTCATGAGAGGGCTATTCACAGAATTCATAGATGCCGAGTTGCGATTTCTGTCAGCCTGCCATTTTCACCTCCATATGCGGTTTCGACTTTCCAACACTTTCCCACCCCAATGAGCGTGCAACCTAACAGAACATATTATAGGTGACGCTAATGCCACAGTGAACGTAACGTCTGTAACGTAACGGGCTGCTAACTCATCACCAATATGGTTCTTGGTGGTGACATGAGAGCAGACACACACCAGGTAATCATTTATGTGATGGTGTGGAATGTTAAAGACAATTATTGTCAAACTCATCTAGTGCAGTAGCACAGAAACATGACAAAATTTGGGATATTGTGCTAAGATGAGCAGTTAAACTATGATGGTACTAAAGGCCAAACGAAACACTGGACATCCAGTTGGTGCAGGTAAGGCCACAAAAATATTTTTTTTTGTAACATTGCTCACCATTGGCCAGGCCAAGGCATTCCAGACGTGCCGCTATCGCTGTGTGCAGAAGTTCATGAGAGAGAGCAGACCTCACATTGCTCACCATTACCCACTTCGGTAAGGGTAACTGTTCTCTGATTATTTCCCCCCGATTTACATATTAAAAACTATTGTTACTCAGATGTTTACCATAATATTCTGATAACCTCTGATTAAGGAGAAACGGTTCACGTGATCAGGGAAAAAAAGTGATGCCTTGGCAAAAGGTGAGGAATTGCCATGCAGCTGGCCCTTGGAGTGGGGCAAACCCTTTGCACTGGTCGGCATCTGCATCATCCTCAGGAGAGGGTTGTGCTCGGTACAAATTGTCAATGTTATATCTCAAATTCATATTCGAAGTACAAAAACTTGTATGAGGAAAACTTGACACTGAAGATGATCTGGAGATGAGAACGGATGATGGTAGACAATCAGAAAGGAGAAAAATATTGCGATAAGGTTTTTCATAATTTTGATACACAGTAAACTCTATGTTACATATCAGATTTCAAATACTGAATGAATGAGTTTTGGGCCTTATGGGGTACATTTAAATGAATTCATGATAAATGAAATGATTATTATAAAAATATTTAAAAGTTATTTTCATTGAGAAGAGATTAAGCAGCTGTCATCCTCAGGATTAGAGTAAATTAACTGGAGCAAAGTGTCTTGCTTTGGCAATACTGGATAAGAGCCCAATGAGGACCAATCGGTGCTGCCTCTCTTTCCCTTCACATAGTGCACTGATCTGGCGTCTGAGGTAACAGCCTTTGTATAGATTTATATGATAATTATATAATAATGATGATTACAATAGTACTAAGGATAATTGTTATTCTTGTTATAGCTGAGATAATAATGATTGTAATAATATTCCTAATTATGTAATTGAATGATTAGGGCATTCATGGTTTTTTGTAACACTTTTTATTCTGGAGCTTGTTTCTTTGTTTCTCTGCAGTCAGTTCACTCCTCATGGGGACACATTTGTATAGATTATTTCTATTGCCTTATATGGTCTGAGAAAATCACCCGAACGTTGTCATCAGGCGTCACAAACTGGGGAAGGGGAGTTAAATAGATACTGTTTGTGAATTTTCCAGCCAGTGAAGGTCCAACGAAGACATGCTAACGAGTTGCATTATGGGAAATGTAATCGAAAAAGGCAGAATATCTCGGGCTCTGCTGCATCGATTTTGACTTTTGTTAATCTGTCTCATAAAAACACGTTAAATTAAATCAGAATATCTAATTTATTATGCAACAGCTGAAGTGGATCCAAATACACACACAATGACAACGTCACCTCTTAAGTCAACTTAAGTACAGGCCTGTACTACATATAGTAATGATTTTTAAATCTAGTCATATGCCAAATGGCTGTATAATGCACCTCAATAATGAACAAAGTGCTTTGCTGATTTATCCATCAACAACATTAAATGTGTGCAGTTCATTGACCACCGTGTACTGTTCTTTTAGACATTGTTGTGGTCACTGAGCGAAATGACTCCGCTCTGCTAACCTTTGTCAAATTGTTCATGGATCTTTAATCCAGCCTCAGACCTGTTTATTACAGCAGCACACTAACAGGATTGGTGATGCTAACCCCCGGGGACATGGTCGCCAGCTGTTCCACCCCTCTGGCGGCGGGTCAGCCCACACAGGGCCGCTGATGGGTGGAGCAGGGTGGGAGGGGATGCCTGGAAAGTGAGAGTGGATCTTCTTAGCTCAGTGCAGATCGCCGCAGCGAGAGGACGAGAGGGATGTTGAGGCCGAAGGTGCTTTAAAACATCACGGAGTATTGGATATTTCACAAGGCAGAGTTTTTCTTCATCTATTTTTTTTTTTTGCCCGCGTTTTCATCATTGCACCCGGATTTTAGGCTTTGGGTTGGGAACATTTATGGGTTGCCAATAGGACGCAGGACAGCTGACTCACGATGGCTTTGGATGCAGTGTGGCTGAGGGTGAAGAACGTCTGCAAGCAGAATGGGCTCCTCATCATGTCGGTGCTGGCTGTGGTCATTGGGTGTCTTTTGGGATTCTTCCTGAGGACGCGGCGCCTCACGGAGCAGGTCGGTTTGTCTCCTCCCCTTGACCCAGTGTGACGTCATGCAGGCAGAAGATGGCCTCTAATACCTGCGGGGCTTTACACTTAGTGCTTCACCTCATTTATTCTCCTGCTTTACTGCATTCTCCCCCACAATTTCACACTGATACTTGGCCCCATATCAGTGCTGACCTCCGTGCTTTGTAGTCATTATCATGTTGACACCCTTTAATAGATTTTCCAAAAGCTCATAATTGTCTATTATAGTTTTGCAGTGCTGAAAAGTGTGTTTACTCAAGTACTGTGGAACTAATTCTGAGGTACTTGTATTTTACTTGAGTTTTTTCCATTTTATGCTACTTCTGCGCCATTGAATTTCAGAGGAAAATACTCTTTTTTTAAAGCACTGCATTTATGAGATTAAGATTTTACATAAAAGGTGTAAACTTGTTCAAATTTAGAGCAACTTATGCCCTGTTTGAGAACCTTTTGTGGCTTGTTGGTGTCCCATTTTAGATGTCTGTGAGTTGCTGGCAGTTCCACTAGACACATTATCCGTCTGAACTTTTCCCATGACTTCATTTAAATAACGGTTTGAGGCCCAAATAGTCCAAATTCTTGAATACTTGACAAAAAAGCAAAGTATGGAGAAAAGTGAAAATAGCAAAGAAAAAAAACCTAACTTGTTTCTCTTCCTTCCTGCCTCATTTATCATGTCACATAAATCTGAGGGGGTCCAACTCTAGGTTGTGGTGAAGACTCAGCCTCAGTACATAGGGCCCCGCTCTACCAGGTGAGCACCGGGGAGCCCCAGTGTTGCATGATTATCGTTGGGGATTTATTTCCCGTTTGTATAGACCATTTTTTAAACTACATTGAAAATAAACCAAATTAAATCCAGCAAGTGTGTTGAGTGGGGGAGGAGTAATTCATACTCTGTGATTTTACCTCACAGATGATGTCATCAGTTCAGTCAAATCTTGGAGACATCATAGCTGAGATAAATCAAATAATCAACGTGAAAATGTGGTTGAAATATGAAAATGATTTTGATGTCTACCAAACAGATAATATTTCGCATATTAATGGCTTCATTTAATAGATATGAGACGGATTCAGGATTATTAAAGCAATATATTTCAAAAATGAATCAACCTGTTAGAATGCTGTTGAAACGACGCTTCTATGTAATCTACACATCTGATGAACTCTGACTGTACAACCAAATTTGGACTGTTACTTGTAATGATCTTTTTTTAATTGATGTATTGGTGCTTTACTTAAACAAAGGATGTGAGTACTTCTTGCACCACTGACATTATTAATAAGGGTTTCCTTTCAGGAAGTGCATTAATTTCCATCCATGTCACTGCGTTGTGAAAATCTCATTTTACACTTATAATTTAGGTAATACATCGATGAACATCACTCTGGCTTCTATTTTCAAAAGATACCATTTTGTTATTGTTACATTGTAACACAGTGCAGACTTCCTTCATCAATCTACTCTGACAAGCAACAACAGCATACCTGCAGCAACAATAAAAGGAGCCTCTTGTCTGCCAATTAACTTTCATACCACAGTCATCTGTATTTATTATCAGAACTGCCTGGAGGCTTAGAAAAACACATTTTAAAAGTCTGGTATTAGACGGATGATAAGTTTACCTCCGTGGCACTGCCGAAAAACCATTGAGCAAGGTGGCAACCCCCCAACTGTCATCCTGTGAGGCAGCCCCCTCGCTCTGACATCTCTCCATAAAGATCCTGGTTGTCTCTGTGTGTGTGAATATGAATAACAAAAGAGTCGGATCAATGAAGTATACTTTCTTTCAAACTTCATTTCAATTCTACAGAAGAAAAAATGAAGGGGAGAAACTATAGGGGAAAATCAGAGTTGCCAACACTAATAATTTGCACATTTTGCACATTAAAGGCTTCATAAAAGTGTCTGTATCCTTAAACTGTCAATCCTTCATTTACTGTGATTAGAGTGTTGTGAATTTTTTATTTTTGGAAGGTTTATAAGCGTAAAATGACAAACTTCTAACGTGTCAATATTTTGTCTCATCGGCTATATTCAGTCGGCAAATCCTTTAAAGTCACATTAATTGGTGAGCAGTATTACCAGTTTCCTTCTGGCCTTTGTCCTTTGAACTAAATACAAATATACAAGCTGAAAAATGCTCCAGTTGGCGTTACATGAAGTGTTGAAGTGTGGTGTGTGAAAACATCTATGCACAAAACCAGGCTACAAACAAACCCACTGTAAATACACGGCGGTTAATACGTGCCACAGCCTCGGCACATTGCTCTAAATACAGCCAAGCACCTTTATGGACGGGCTCCATAAACAAAATGCAGCCTTTTCTTTTCCCATCACTCCTCTGACTAAAGCTCTGTCATATTCTCAAATAGGCCTAAAAATAGCCCGTGGCTAGGGGATTACAATCCAATCATGTTAAATGCTTTCTCTAATTGCATATCAAGTGAGAGTGCCTGTCTGTGTGATGACAAAGTACACAGGAGGCACAGACCTTTATGTTTTCAGACAATTTATCAAGGCCTGATCCCTCTGTGTTTGAGAGTGGAGAGCATAGAGGGTAGTGTGTGTGTGTGTGTGTGTGTGTGTGTGTGTGTGTGTGTGTGTGTGTGTGTGTGTGTGTGTCTGGCAGACAGAAGCAAAATGCCGAAGAATTACCCCAAATGTAAAAAAAAAGAATATGAATTAAAAATGATGCAACTATGTAAACATGCTGAACAGTCTCCACACAAGCAAACAGAGTAGAAATGTATGGATGAATCTATGACATAAATCTGTATTATAGTATTAGGGAGGGGGGGGGGGGCGGTCTGTAGAATCCCACCATCAACTGCAGAAACAGAAAATATCAGTTTATAGACGATATCTAACTAATAATAGTTTGATTGAATATTGAAATGATGAACAGCATTTTACATTATTTAGTTTATCTAAAACTATTCATGAAACGGTGTGGATGCTATTGTCTGTATCATGTTTTACTGCTGATCTTTATTAAACAGTGTTGTGCCTCCACACAGCAAGAGGACAGTGATTGATTTAGTAGGCTGTGAGAAAGTAAAATGACCGAAAGTCAGATGACAGACGGACATTTTGCATGTTACACAGTGGCCACTACAAATTGCACCTTGACAATCTATTGCAATACAACATAGATTGCTGTTTACCTTTACAAAGTTGATCATTTACAGTTTGTGTTCACATTGTTGAGAATGTGCAAATTCAATTATATGTTTATTACTGAGGTGTGGTGGAAAAAACTATTTAATAGTACCGAGTGAGTCCTATGATACTGAAATTAAGAAACATTGAGAAAAGAAGTTTGTCTTTAAAGTATTTATTCTCTGCGCAGAGAAGGTTCAATCGTCGTACAGAAAGCAATGCGATCTGAAGGATAAATGAATGAGTGTTGGTTGTGTACGACTTATAAAGGCCTTGAGCACATGGTGAGTAGGAGGAGTTCATCACTAGGACATCTGGACAACAGTGACCATTCATTGATAAACCATTGAATGGTTAACCACTGAATGGTCCACTGATTGCATCCCCATTCAGCCCCCTATCTAAGCTGACACATCATGCCCCTGATTAAGACACACACACATTATTACTCAACCTGAGAGGACCTCACTGACCATGTCTGACATTCATTAACCTTACTAAAACAAAAAGGGCCAAAACACTGAGTTGTCAGACAATAAGACAGGTGGATAAGTCGCAGTGGAAATTTGCCATCACAGAGGTCATAGTTAAAGATGGTGTTTTACTGGACGACATTAAACTGAGGGGTTTCTGTTTCTATTCAGAATATTATAAATGCCTCTGAATATAGTGCTGTCCAGCACAACGCATCACAATATTGTTTTTTTGTTGTTGTTTAGCGTCAAAAACATTATAGGCGTTAAAAAAGTTGCATTCGACTTCATAAGTGTACTTAATTAAGTGGACGCTGATCAAACATTTCTATTTCTACGTGTGCATAACAACATCCACTGTATTGGTTTGTTTTTTAACTTGCAGCTACAGAAATGACTTTATGGCAACAGAAAAACAATTAGATATAAAATATGCATCACCCTCTCAACCTTTTCTAAATTACAATTCCAGATTGAAAATCTGTTAACGTTGTAAGATAAAAGACTAAAAGATTGAAGGGGAAGTGTAAGACCAAACTAAACTAAACAGCTGTTGAAGTGGCATTGAAGTGCAGGGGGACTTGTGACAGATTTGACAAACAGTAGCCAAAATATCCCGACCTTTAGTCCCTAATGTGGCTTAAGGGGAGACACTACAGTTGAAAAGGGTCAAATGTTTAAAAAAAGTTGCTTACTAGCATTATGACATTTATTTTATATAACACAAGTTTACTGACATTGTATGTTTGAATATGCAAATTATGCATTATCGTTTGTAATAGGTGCTAATTTGCATACATTTCCAGAACAGCCATAAACAAGTTTAGCCATGTTTTTAGGAATAAAATGTTCTATAAATGAGGCTATGAATGTTATATTAACAAACCCTTCATTAAATAACTTCAGAATATAGATAGGAATGAACCTGGGAAGTTTGGTGTATGTAAGTGCTACTGAAGGGGAGATTCTGAGAATTTCTTTTACTAATTCTCAGAAAATGGCCTTTGTATTGCAAAATGAAATACATTTTGAAGACACTAAAGGTGAAAAGGATAAAACAAAATAACAAATAGATATCACTATGAAACATCCCCAATTGATTACTTACATTAAGACAATAATTGTTTTCTGAAAGTTTATGGTTTAATATGCAAAAAGGCATTATCTAATGCTATCTTTTTGTGAATTTGGGAGAAACCTACGGACACAAAGTAGTAAAATAAACACTTAAATGTGTATTTTGGATGTTTTTTTTCCACGGAAGCAAAAGAGCATATACTACGTATCTCAACATTCACCAATGCATGAAAAAACTTTTTTTGCATGTCGTGTCACGTAAGCTCCAAA